GTGTGTGTGTGTGTGTGTGTGTGTGTGTGTGTGTGTGTGTGTGTGTGAGGTTCACACCTGCTGATGCTTGCCCCTCTGTTAGGTTTGGCTTGGGTGGGAATAGATCTGGTAGAGATGATTGATATGTAAGCTTTCTTGGAAGCTGTACTTAGTAATGGTTTTTGTCAGCTTGTCTTTCCTCCTTGAGGTCAGGAGTTAGTAAGATGAACTGTTAAAAGAAATCACTTGTTCATCTAGGCCAGTGATTCTCTACCTGTGGGTCACAACCCCTTTGTGGGTCAAACAACCCTTTCACAGGGGTCACATATGAGATTTCCTGCATATCCGATATTTGCATTACAATTTGTAACAGTAGCAAAATCACAGTTATGCCATAGCAATGAAAATTATCTTGTGGTTGGGGTCACCACAACATGAGGAAGTGTATTAAAGGGTGTCAGCATTAGGAAGGTTGAGACCCACTGCTCTAGGCCGTTATTGACATTCCTGAGCCCTCTGGCCATACCCCAAGCCTTTTTACTATCATGTTTAATAATTATATATTTTAAAGAAAACTGAAAGGAAAAATTAGTCATAAGTAACTCTTTTGGACTGTCCACTTAAACTTAGGTATTTTCATGTGACTCAGGTAAAGTTAGAAGTGACACAGCACAGGGGTCTATTTTTTAGCTTGCTAGAGTAGAAAATGCAAAACTCTGTGTTCCCAGTGCCTATGCACTTCCCTTCCCTCGTCGGAAACACTGCTCGCTTGTGTGGCCGTCGGTCATCCTACTGCTAGTCAGCATTTGCCAATAACACAGATATACCTCCATTTATATTTTGTATTGTAAGAGTGTAGATTTAAGATAGGACTGTATATCCCACACTTGTTGACAGAAAGTGCAGTCTGTAACTGTATAACTGGTGTGTGCAGCAGCATCTACAGACTGTGTCAGTACTGCGGGTACTGACAACTCATCTTCCACATAGTTAGGGAGAGTCAGTATGAAGTCAGTTAGCCCAGTTTCATAATCTGAGCCGTAATTTTGTTATTGCCATATTTCTTTGAAATAGTGATAAAATTTTATAGCTCAAATTTGAATGTCCTCATACCTATGTGCCAACTATGGCAAGAAAACGTTTGTGGGTTTTTGTTAATTTGGTTGGTTGATTGGTGTTTTGTTTTGTTTTATATTTCTTTTAAGGTATACTTTCTATTTTTCTGTATTGACATGCAATAAATTGATACATGAACAGCTTGGTTAATGTCGTCAGCTAGTTTGTATTCAGTCTTTTTAAAACTCTATTCATGTAAAGTCTATCATAGGACATTAAGGTATCTAATGGTTCAATAAAACCATGCGTTTCACTGAAAGTAATGGATCTTATTCTAAATATATGGATGAAAATGTTTCCATTTCCTTCTCCCAAGGATATAACAGTCCTGTGTGCATTTAATTTAGGCTAGCATCAAAAAGTATTTTCTATATATATGAACTGCTGTTAAGTGCCTAAACCTCAAGCATGTCTTCAGTTACACGGATGGCGTTTAGCTGCATCCTCATCTATGGATTTCATAAAGCTCTTTTCCAAGAAACTTTCATTGTTGGTTTCCTCCCATTTGCATTTTTGTTGATGACCCCCTGATTGAGATGGTCTTACATAGTTAACCTTCATGAGTCTGTAACTTGCTTTTCCTCCAAAGAGGCTTTTGTATCCGAGGAGTGTATCCACAGTGAAAGACTGGAAGCACTTGCGTGCCTTAACGCGTCCTAGAGAAGCATGAGGATCAGTCATGGTTGCAGACTGCCCGCTGTGAGGAGGTGAATTGAGAAGATGCCTGCTGTAAGGAGGTGAATTGAGAAGATGCCTGCTGTGAGGAGGTGAATTGGGGTGCAGGTGCTCACGTGCTGACAGAGGCCCCAGCCTGGACTCAGAATGCTTTTAACATTTATGTTTAAGTCTTCAGTTCTTCCTTTCCTTCCTGCAACATTCTAGAAAGTTGCGAAGTTCGGTCTGCTAGAGCTGATTTACTGGGGGATAGAGAAAATGGAGTCTGAATGCTGAGATACAAGGCCTAGGTGGTAAATGGCACCAGGTCTTCATCATAAACTTTTACAGCAAGAGGCGTCACGAGGCCTGGGGTATGCAGAAGGATTTCTTTCCTCACCTCATTCATTCTCAGTCTAGAACACATTTGCTAATTTACTCAGTGAAACAGCTTGAAAATGATTTCCATGTTGAAGGAGATTAAAATTGCTGAAATTGGAATCCAAAGTAGGCTCAACTAGGTCACTCCAAGGAACTACCAAGAACTGGAATTTAGAAGTATGCAGCCATGTATTTACTCATTGTTACATAGAAGGCTTCATGCAGAGCATACTCGACAAACCTCATGCTTTCCTAAGCCTTGCACAGTGACAGAGGCTGGAGGAGTGGCTAGGAAGTTCTAAAGCTTCCTAAAAGAACTGGCAACCAACTTGTTGCTTCCTGCTCTCCACAATGCTGCCTTACCAGTGCTGAAATTATAACAGCTGACATTTATTGAGACTTTAAAAAAATTTATTTGTTTTTATTTTTACATGGGTGTTTTGCCTGCAAGTATGCCTATGGACCATGTATGTGTAGTGCCCTCTGAGGCCAAAGGAGAACATCAGATCCCTTGGAAGTAGAGTTACAGATGTTTGTGAGCTGCCATGTGGGTGCTGGGAGTCAAATGTGGGTTTTCCAGGTAAGCAACAAGTGTTCTTAATCATTTACCCATCTCTTCAGTCCCTGTTTCCCCATTCTTAACAACTGTAGGGTCTGCCAACCCATTCCTTACTTTGTAGGCTACCCCGCTACCCTCCACCTGGGGTATGCAGTGACTGCATCTCACACTGAAGGCAGCCTTTTCTGTCTCTTGGCTCCTTCGTAAACATGCTTCAAACCTCATATTTTTATTCATAAATTTGGACTTACTCTTCACTGACTGAAACTTGGGACATGTAAAGTGCCTCTGAGGCCCAACTCTGGTTTGTAGAAGCCCAGAGCTTGT